CCATGCAAGTGAAGTGAATAGGATTTGTCTGCCTGCATTTACCCATCCACCAAAGTGCGAATATTGAGCTTATTCCATTATGCATCAGGTCATAAACTCACACTTTGCTGAAAGAGAAGCAATAAGGGCAAGACGTTCACAACATGCCTAGGTCTGTTCTCAGGGAAGCCAGCGCTAAAATCCCCACTGATTCGGAGCAGAGGCCAAGGCTGTGAACTTTGGCAATTCCTCCCTAAATTCACATTTCTTTCCAGTGGCTGCCCCATGTCAGGAGTAACCTGCCAGACCAAAGTGAATGAAGATGTCAGGATTTGGTTTCATTGCTAATAAAGCTTTGGTAGGGCATTTATGAACAGAATCATCACCCGCTCGAAGAAAAAACAAGAGATCGATCCGATCCTTTGCAGTGGCATCACATTTGTACAGCTGACTAAGGAAAAATGTAGCATGGCAAAAAAAAAAGAAAGAAAGGGAAGCGGCATCATGGACAGAAGTCTGCTACACACGGTTTGCTGGTCAATAGCTTGCTCCTTAGAATTGGATCGTTTTATAGCTTGCTGTGAAAATCATTTCCTACCCTTTGAAAACATTTAGGATGGGCTCAATACCTTCCCAAGACTGCTGGGTCGTAAGTGATATAAATGCAAAGATGATGGATAGGCTGAATCATTCCCAGCTCATGAATGACCTCCTTGTTTCGCTGTTCGGAGGCTGGACCATAAGAAAGAGCTTTCTCATGCCATCCTGTGGCTTGGCCAGCACGTAACATCATCGCACACTATGCAGTATTGTGCATTTCAAATGAAAGTCTCTCTTTCTCTGGTCTTTTACAAGGAGACTGTTAGTAATGTGTCTTCAGACTGCCCATGCCTCCCCCCTTGAAGATGTAACGCTTGAGTCGATGACATCCCCATGTAGGCAAGCTCATTTTCTACTGTTATGAGCTTTGGAAATACTAACACCAGCAATTTCCTAAGCCATTTTCCTACATGCCTGACATACCCATCCACGAGGGTTGAAAGCTACTATGGCATGCCTAAAACACCATCAGACTTTGGGATCTTGTGCACAGGCCTGTCTCTAATGGACCTGAATGCCCAGAGACATTGAGACCAGGATTTTAATGTGCTGGTAGAAGTCAGAGGGAAGTTGGGACAGTAAAGAAAAGTACCGTAAGCCTTGCTGAAAAGAACAACAGGGGTGAGATACCCAAGTAAACAAGCCACTTTTGAACACAGGCACCTAACTCCCTTACAGGCAGATTTTTAACGGGATTTGGGCATCTAGCTGACATTAGCCACTGACCAACCTGTCCCTTTAAAAATCTGGGGCTGAGGCATTTTTTACAATTGGCTTCACTCTCTCTGCGCCTTAGTCCCCAGTTCACAAACTGGGAGTAACTTAGCAGGGGCATTATGAAAGGAAAGTCCACACTGATGCTAAGTGAGGCCCCCAGACCCTGTGATAACATGGGCTATATATGACAGAAAGGAAATTTCATAGCTTTCATAGACATTAGGGCTGGAAGGGACCTCAAAAGGTCATCGAGTCCAGCCCCCTGCCCTGGCTGCAGGCAGTCAGCTGGGGTCATAGGATCCCAGCAAGATAAGCATCCAAATTTCTCTTGAAGGTGTTCAATGTAGGTGCATGAACCACGTCCAGCGGCAAGCTGTTCCAGACCTTGGGGGCTCGGACAGGAACGAAATTCTTCCTTATGTCCAGCCTGAAACGGTCTCGCAGTAGTTTATGACCATTCGACTTCATCATCCCTTGGGGCGCTCTAGTGAACAAACGTTCCCCCAGATCCCGGTGGTCACCCCGATAAACTTATAGATGGCCATCAGATCACCCCTGAGCCTACGCTTTTCCAGGCTAAAGAGCCCGATGGGTCTCAGCCTGTCGTTGTAAGGTCTGTTTTCCTGACCTCTGATCACGTACGTGGCTCTTCTCTGCACTCTCTCAAGCTTCTCCACATCCTTTTTGAATTGTGGAGCCCAAAACTGGACACAG